CCCCCCCCCTCCCCCCCTTGCGCGCTCACCTCCACCAACTACTAACCTTCTTCCCCTTCCACACCCATGTGTAGGGCCCTCCTCAACTATGACGGGACAACGTCGCCGCGGTTGGTGGTGACCGAGGTGGGCAAGGGCCTGCCTGCCCTGGCACGGGCTACCAAGGACTCGGTTGTTCAGTTTGGTCTGGTTCGGGGTGCTATGGGCTACGGCAAGATCAATGTGGTGGTGTATGTGGGGGAGAGGGCCGATGCCCACATGAAGGACTCGGCCTTTGCTCATGCGTCTGATGTGCTGGCTAAGAAGCTGGTCGGCTGCGAGGCAAACGTGCTCATTGCTAATGCCGACAGTGATCTCCGCAACTGCTCCTACCTGAATGCCAGGGATCTGAGGGCCACAAAGTGGGGTGTTCGCCCCATCAAGACTTGGTCAAGTTCGTCCACTGGTGGCGCGGCGGCCAGCTCTGCCGGTGGCAAGTGGGGCAAGCCGGCTCCGGGCGGGGCCAAGCCTGCACCTGGAGGGGCCAAGCCTGCGCCTGGCGGAGCCAAGCCTGCACCGGGCGGCTCCAAGTGGGGCAAGCCTGCGCCTGGCGGAGCCAAGCCTGCACCGGGCGGCTCCAAATGGGGAAAGCCTGCGCCTGGCGGAGCCAAGCCTGCACCGGGCGGCTCCAAGTGGGGCAAGCCCGCGCCTGGCGGGGCCAAGCCTGCACCTGGCGGGTCCAAGTGGGGCAAGCTGCGCCTGGCGGAGCCAAGCTGCACCGGGCGGAGCCAAGCCTGCACCGGGCGGCTCCAAATGGGGCAAGCCTGCACCTGGCGGGGCCAAGCCTGGCGGCTCCAAGTGGGGTGCCAAGTCAGAGCCCGAGCCGAAGGAAGAGGTGCCGATTGCGTCGGGCGGAGTGGCTGCGCGCGCAGCCATGTTTGCCAACGCCGAGCCGGCAGCCAAGTCGAGCCCGCCGCCGGCCAAAAAGTGGGGCGGCTCTGCAGGTGGGGAGAAGAAGCCGGCGCCGGCGGCGTCCAAATGGGGGGGCAGCCCGGGCGGCGCGAGCTCGGGTGGCGCCGGCGGCGCGGGGAAGCGCTCGTCGGTGGCGTCCAAGGCGGCCATGTTCAATCAGCCGGCGCAGGAGTCGACTCCGCCACCGGCGAAGAAGTGGGGCGGCTCTGGCGGCTCTGGCGGTTCGTCCGCGCCGGCCAAAAAGTGGGGCGCGCCTGCCGCCGAGGAGAAGAAGCCGGCACCGGCGGCGTCCAAGTGGGGCGCGCCTGCCGCCGAGGAGAAGAAGCCGGCACCGGCGGCGTCCAAGTGGGGCGCGCCTGCCGCCGAGGAGAAGAAGCCGGCACCGGCGGCGTCCAAGTGGGGTGCGCCTGCCGCCGAGGAGAAGCCGGCACCGGCGGCGTCCAAGTGGGGTGCACCGGCGGCGAAGAGCAATGCACCACCGCCGCCGGCGGCTGCATCGAAGTGGGGCGCGCCGGCAGCCGAAGAGAAGAAGGCGACTCCGCCGCCGCCGGCGTCGTCCGGCGGATGGGGTGCACCTGCCAGCACGCCTGCAGACGACGGCGGTTGGGGCAACGACAATGACGATGGCGGATGGGGCGACGATGCTGCCGATGACGGCGGATGGGGTAATGATGCCGCAGACGACGGTGGGTGGGGATCGACGCCCGCTGCGCCTGCGGCTACGCCCGCTCCACCGCCGCCGGCCGCTGCCTCTATTTCTATCCCGCCGCCGCCCGCGCTTGCTGACGACGGATGGGGCGCCGAGCCTGCAGTCGCCGATGACGGCGGATGGGGCGCCGAGCCTGCAGTCGCCGATGACGGCGGATGGGGTGCCGAGCCTGCAGTCGCCGATGACGGCGGATGGGGCGCCGAGCCTGCGGTTGCCGCCGAGCCCGCGGCTGCCGTGCCAGCCGACTTCTATGTCGCCACCGTGCTGTACGACTACGCTGCCGCAGAGTCGAATGAGATCAACCTCACCGCCGGCGAGGAGGTCTACGTCTACGAGTTTATCGACGACGGTTGGTGGTCGGGCGAGAACATTGCCGGTGAGGTTGGCATGTTCCCCTCTAACTTTGTCGAGCTCCATCAGTGAGCCAACAAAGCTGCCCAGTGAACACAATCAATGCACGACCGGCGTTACTAACTCCCGCCTTGACGGCTCGAGCGCCAACAGGCCCATGACAGTAGCTCGCCACCGCAGCGGCAGCGCCGCGTACGGCAGGCCGGCCACGCCCTGCACCGCATCGCTCGCCAGGCTTTGCACAAACATCACCGGCGCGCCGCTGACGGCTTCCACCATAGCCTCAAACGCATCGGGCGCGAGCAGATGGAACAGCACCATGCCGAGTTGCCACAGCATGGCGTCCTTGGACGCGACCACACTTCGCGCCCCGCCGACCGCCGCCGCGAGCACGCCTGGCGATGCGTACACCGTCGCCAAGTTACCACTCGCTAGCGGTGTTCCCTCGAGCGTGGCAAACCGCAGGTGGCGGATCCTCCATCCCAGCTCGTAGCGGGCAAACGCGCTCGGCGTCAGCCGCAGGTGTGCCACCCCGCGCTCTGCTAGGACCGCCACCGCCGCCACAATGCCACTCGCAATCGCGCCCGGTGGCTCCAGCGGGAACCCGGGCTGACATCCTGTCTCTAGATAGCTGTCGAGCGCCAGAAACGGCGTCGCTACCGCGAGTACACATTCGGCGGTCACGGCGTCGCCCGCAGCGGCGAGGACCTCAGCAGCGGCCTCGGGGCCTAGGAGCGACACCACCGCACTCGATGCAAGGTACTGATGGAGCTTGGACGCGACAAGCGCAGACCGTGGCTTGTCACACACCACCAGCGTGCCGATCGGCGCGTGCGCCGCATCGTCCGCGAGCTCGACCACAATCTCGCCCGCCACGTCCGGGCCGGCCACAGTCGCCGGGGGGACGCGCCGGATGGTGCCACATTCCGCAGCGGGAGCTCCAAAACAAACTCAAGCACGGTGCCTCTCCCACTGGCGGCGGCCGCGAGGGCCGGTCCGGCAGAGGCTGCGGCCAGGCCGTTATCGACCCACTCGAGGCGAGCCAGCGGCGAGTCGAGGCCAGCCACTGCCATCATCTCCGGCAGCAGATCGGCCGAGCCACGATTGCGACTCGCACACACATCTACAAGCGTGTCCGACACCCGTAACGCAGTGAGGAGAGCCGAGAGACCGTGATCACCCAGTCCGTTGCCAGCCAGATCGAGGGCGGTGAGCGCCGGCGCAAGGGCGACGGCATCGGCCACAGCCACCCCGCCAGCAGGCCCGAGGCAGTTGTCCGGCAGCGCGAGCGAGACCAGCACCATAGGCAGCGGAAGCAGCGACCGTACTGCGCGCGAGTCAATGCCGGCGTAGGCTATAGCCAGCTCTGTCACTGGCGCGGTTCCCGGCGCGATCTCCGGCGCGGTTCCTGGCGCGGACGAGGGCTCGGCGGCGGCACGGATGGCAGCCACGTCGCGGGCGCCCAGCAGCGGGACGGGCGCAGAGAGGGCAAGACGGCCATGGCATGGCACGAGAGAGGCGACAGCAGGGTGGAGTGGCGGGTTGGCCATGGTGGAGCGAGGTGTGAGTGTGTGTGTGCGGGGCGCAGTGGTCCGTGGCCAGTGGCGCCGAGTCGCCGCGGGACCGGCGCGGTGAGCACGGACAGCCGGGAAAGCCGACGCTCGCAGACCCGGATGATCGACGCGTGCGGCAACGGGGAGGGCTGGCGGTGCGGCGGGAACAGCGGTATGCTGGCAGGATAAGGGGTGGACGCGGTTTATCGGCGGATTCGGCGGGAGGCCGAGTGCTGTTGCTGGGAGGCAAAAACCTTGCGCTGAACATTCATGCGCGCTGTGTAAAAGGCGACAGCGTCGGGATCCTCCTTGGCGATTCGCTGGGTCTGCTGCAGATCCCACTTTTCGCCGTCGTCGAGCACGTCCTGGTTCGGCTCCAGTAGCTCCGAGGCCGAGGCGGCGGGCTTGAGCGGGAGATGGCCAAACGAGGCCATAAACCACTCGTCAAAGTCTGCCAGCAGCCGCTGGCGGCACTCGGTAACGTGCCGATCGAGGTACGAGACATCGGCCTTGGCCGCCTTGTACGCCTCAAACGCCTCGCGGTACGTCGCCTTAGCCTCCTGCAGCTCGACCAGTACCTGGTACTCGTCCTCGTCGATGACCTCGACGGGCTCGCTCGAGGCGGCCGCGTCGTGAGCACCAGGCAGCGCCGACGGCGCAACCGCCGGCGGCGCGCCTACCCGCGACTCACGGAGCGCGTTGAGCTTGGCCCGCAGCACGTCGATGGCCGCCTTGGCTCCGTTGACGCTCAGGCCCGCTTCGCGGAGCAGGCGCTTCTTCTCGTGGTACACCCGCTTGTTCTCCTCGAGAATGCCAGCGATCTCTGCACCGGCCGTGTGCTTAAACTCGGAGAACGCGTCCTCACGCGACGGTCGGAAAGCGTGCGATGACGACGGGCGCGAGCCGTCGCCCCCGCCCCCGCCACCGCCATATCCCGACGCAGCCGACGCAGCCGACGCGTTGCCGGGTCGCCCGCCGGCTGAGGGTCCACGCCCGCCGTCGGGCGTCTCGTGGTCGGCAACGACTGACCCACCTTCGAGGTCGTCGCCGCCACGCGACGGCGAGCGCGCCCGATCGGCGTCGCCCGCCGCGCCGCCGCCGGGGAGGTGCGCAGCCGAGGGAGTACGGGAGAGGTCGTGCCCACGCGGATGACCCTTGGAGGTCGACGGCGGATCGTGGCCGCCGGCCTCGCGGCCCATCGATGACGTTGTCCGCTTCTTCTTCTTCTTCTTGGCCTTGTTGCCGAGCGGCGACATGCCCTTAGGCGTGGTCCGCCCCGAAGCGCGCGAGCGGCGACGGGAGCGGCCGTCGGGCTCACCGTCGGCCTCGTCGCCGCCGCGGCCGCCATCGCCCGAGTCGTGGTCGCCGTGGCCTGCGCGCATCTCCTTGCGTCCACGCTCGCTGGCCAGCCGCTTCTTGCGCGGTGCCTTGTGGCGTGCGACCTTGCCCGACGGGCGGCGCTTGAGCGCGTCCGAGTTGACCGGCTTGGCATCGTCGGCAAACTCGCCGAGATGGAAGCCGTCCGAGTCGAGCTCGCCGACGCCGCCGCCGGTCGCCACCATGGACTTGACATCGAGCGCCGACGGCGCATCAGCCGGCGGCGCCGACGTCCCGTAGTGGTCGCGCAGCTTCTTGAGCGCGCTTGCCTCGACGTTGTTGAGAATGACCCTGAACTGGGCAAAGGTCTCGCGGATGTGCCGGATGTTGATGACCGGCAGCTCGTCGAGCTCGCCGGTCAGGTACGCCTTGACCTGCTTGTTGAGCTCGTAGCGTTCCTGGTCGGTGTAAGGATCGTAGACAATGTGGGCCCGGTTTGAGAGCGCGTCGTGCATAGCCAGCTCCTCCTTGAGCTCGCGGATGTCGGCCTCATACTTTTTGCACAGTGCCGCGAGGTCATACTGCACGTTGATGGTCGGCTCGTTGGAGACCCGCATCATGCGCTGTGCAAAGCGAAGCGTGCTGATGGTCTCCTCCAGCTGCGAGGCCTCGGGCCAGATGTTGGCGATCATGAGGGTCTTGCAGTTTCCCCCGATCGAGTCCTTAAGCACATTTGTCAGCTTGGTCTGCCGGTACGGAATGTGCGATCGCCGGTCGCCGAGCGCCACCACCACCTGCTCCAGGAACGTCAGACTCTGGTTGATGTACTTGGCCTCCTGCAGCGTGACTCCAGTCGAGTCTGTCTTCTTCACCCGCTCCGACCCGGCAAGATCCACCAGGTTGAGCTTGGACGTCAGAACCTTTTCGGTCGACTCGACCCGCGACCGCGACTCGACGTGGAGGGTAAAGATGGTGTGCGACCGCGACGAAGCCTTGTTGAGCGAGTGCGAGCCCACAATACGGTTCGTGTCTCCCTCAAACAGAAGGTTGAGCGCCTCCTCCTCCGACGTCGCCACCACGTGCGAGAGCCCACGGACGTGGGTGTTGCCCGCCGAATCCTCCACAATGGTCAGATCAGGAGCCGAACCGACCGGCCCGCCGCCAAAGGTGCCCGTTCCGCCGGCCCCAGGCACGACCCGGCCGGTCACAGGCGCCAGCAAGTCGTACATGTGCTCATTGTACAGCTCGAGATAGGAGATACGGACGGTAAAGGCGAGTGCTGGCTTGGCCTCGATGGTCTTGAACAGGTGCGCAATGGCCCTGGGAATGATGCCCCGATGGCGGTAGTTGTCTGTGGCGCCAGTCATGGTGAACGTCTTTCCGGCACCCGTCTGGCCATACACCATCACCGATCCGTTGTATCCCTCCACCGCCGAGTCGACCATAGGCCGCGCCAGCCTGGCAAAGACCTCGTCCTGCGGCGCATTGTGCAGCACCTTGTCGCAAGAGAACGACCACGCCTCCTGCTGGTTGTTGACGTATCCCTGGCTCTTGGACCGCATCACCTTGACATCCACGCTCTGTGCGGTAGAAGGTGATTGAGTGAGTGTGTGCGCGTGTGTGCGTGTGGGCTATGTATCCTACCTCTGCTGTGTGGGCAGGAGCGGCGTACGTTGGCTTCAGTGTCGACGGTGATGTTGTCCTGTGCAAACTGTAGCGTCGGTCGTGTCCGCACGCACACAGTCACCGCTGACCGCACCATGGTGGAGGTGTGGTACGTGTGTATATATATGTGTGTGTGTGTGAGGTGTGTGTGTGTGTGTGGGGGGGGGGGGGGGGGTAGTGGTGGTGGGTGGGTGAGTGAGGTCTGTTGCGGCTGCGTTTGGTTGGCCAACGGCGGCGGGCGAGTGGCTGGTGGCGATTGACGGGCGAGTAGCGGGCGAGTGGCTGGTGGCGATTGGCGGGCGAGTGGCTGGTGGCGATTGACGGGCGAGTAGCGGGCGAGTGGCTGGTGGCGATTGGCGGGCGAGTGGCTGGTGGCGATTGGCGGGCGAGTGGCGGGCGAGTGGCTGGTGGTGAGTGGCGGGCGAGTGGCGGGCGAGTGACGGGCGAGTGGCTGGTGGCGAGGCGGGCGAGTGGCGGGCGAGTGGGCAAGCACGGGTGGCTCGATGACCGCGTCCAGTTATGGCGACAGGCGTAGGCGGTGACACTTGTCGTTGCCTCTGCGGATGGCATCCAGCGCGAGCGGGAGCAGGTCAGCAGCGACTCCTGATGGGAGCTGTGGCTCGTACTCGTACTACACCTCATCCTACGATGAAGCCACCCCGTCTGCCCACCAGCTGCCTGGCCCGGTGGCGGCTGCCCATGCCGGTGCTGCTCGTGGCGACCTCGCGCCGCTCGCTGCCCTGCTGCGACTGCCTCCTGCCCACGACATGTCTCACGAGGAGGTCACCCTCTGGCTGACCCGTGTGCCTCGCGGCGGCGTCCTCTCGCTCCTGCACTGGCTGGCAAGACCGGCGCCACTCGCCTGCTGGGCAAAGCCCTGGCGAGACTGCCGGCCAGGGCTCTCGACGCTCGCGCTCGCGGCAGCGGCAAGACCCCGGCCCATCTCGCCGTCGAGTCTAATCGGCCCGAGGCCTTCCGCATGCTGCTCGAGGCGGGCGCATCGGCTGCTGTTCGCGACGTCGACGGTCGGTCGCCGCTCGCAGGCGTCATCCTCGCCTTTGCTCCCCGCGCAGACATCGCCGCCCGAATGGCCCCGCCAACGCCCGCCGCCCCGCGCCGCCACCGCAAGCGAGTCCGCGTCAAGGGCCGCGTTCGCGTCCGCAAGGGCACCTACAAGCATTTGCCGCGGGAGGAGCGCGTCAAGCGGTTGCGCTCGTCACAAATCTCACGCACAACGCGCTCAAAGTCGCGCTCGGTCTCGGCCTCGTCGCAGGCGCACTCGACGTCATCGGCCCGCCGCCGCAAGGGCGCAGCGCTCCCAAAACCACCGGCGGCACCGGCGCCGCAGCCCTCGCCACCGCCGCCGGACCTGTCCTCGATCTCCGACTCGTCGTCAGACTCGAGCTCCACCCACAGCGATGGCTCGGCGTCGCCGGAGCTCACCCTCCCTCGCACGCCCATCGCCATCACCCCGCCGGCCCCGTCGCCCAGCCGAGCCGCGCTCACCTCGCCGTCTGGCCGGCGTTCTTTTGTTGTCTCAAAGCGTTCGCCGTTCAAGGCGCCGCTCTCAACCGAGACCGCGGCCTTTGCCCATCTACGGACGCCCGAGCCGAGCGTCGCCTCCGGCTCGCCTCCGGCTCGCTCCGCCCTCGCACTGCACATAACCTCAGACATGGCCGAGTTTCTGCAACCCGCGCCGCATGCCCGTGGTATCGGCGCCTTGCTTGGCTTTGCCCTCGGCGACGCCGCAGGCTCGCCTTTTGCCCACCTCCGGAGCCCGGGCGGTGTCGCTCCTGACGGCGTTGACACCGCACTGAGCCTCGTGTCGACCGCTCGTCAGTCGACTACCGCCGTCACGGAGGTCATGGCAGGTGCAGCACAGGCGGTGCTGGAGGCCAAGCTCAGCCAGCCACCGCAGGTCCCTCAGGGCCTCCCTTTTGCACTCGCCTCACCCGAACTCACCGCCTCGCTTGTCGACGTCCAGGCCCACCACACCGCCATCGCCAAGTGGGTGATGGAGCGACGTAGCGCCGGCGACACTCCTGCCGGTGACACTCCCGCTGACGATGCCAGTTCGCTGGCTACGGTCTTGAGCGCGCTCGTGGCTACTGACGGGAGCTTTGGCGACGTCAACACGCTCGTCACCGTCGACACCGTGTTCCGCAAAGCACCCAAGACCGCGTCGGCCTACATCCGGGTCCTCCCGCTGGCGCTCTGGGGCTACGACTTGCCAGCGAATCTGCTCGGTCTTGCGGCGTCGGCTGTGGTCGGCATCACACATCCGGCGCCTCTCTGTCGCGACGCCGGCGCGGTCTTTGCCATTGTGGTCGCCGCGCTGGTACGGACCGGAAAGCCGGCCGCCGCCCTCGCTGCCGCTATCAACTGGGCCCGCGTCCACGCTCACACCAAGGTCCGGGCCTGGCTTCGTGAGGTTGCCGATGGCGAGCCGCTGCAAGACAAAGACCGCCGCAAGTTCTCGTCCATCAAGCTGCCGCTGGTCCACGGACTCCGCCTCGTGCTTGACGGCGCAAGCTACGCAGACGGCCTGGCCTCCACGCTGCTCCTTGGCGGCGACGCCGCGGTCAACGCACCAATTGTTGGTGCGCTACTTGGCGCCCGCTGGGGCGGCTACGCACTGCCGAGCATGCCTCTCGACACATTGCTGCAGAGATCGAGTCAGGCGCAGGCACTGCTCGACCTCGGGCATCAGCTCCTTGCTTACGCCGGCCTCGCGCTGGTCCTCTACGAGCAGCATGTCCCACGGCTCGAGCCAATTGACAAGACACGGGTCTCGGTCCATCAGGGTCCCAACGCTGACTGCAACTGGGTTGTGCCCGGTCTACTCGTCACAGGCGCCACTCCGCCGCACTCTGGCGGTGCCGCGCTCCTCGCGCTCCTCCGTGCAGGTGTGACCGGCTTTGTGGCGCTTGGCAGCGGCGCGACGCCCGCTTACGCGGCGGGCTTGCACCGGCTCGCTCGCGACCATGCCGACGAGCTCGAGCTGAGCGATGATGGCGTCGCCGTCCACGCGGTGAAAATGGATGCCGACGCGTCCGATGCACAGGTCGTCGCCGCTCTACAGGCTCTGCTCAACGTGTTGCGAACCGGCGCCGCCGTCTACATCCACTGCGACGACGGCCACGGCCTCTCCGGCATGGTCGCTGCCATTGCACTGGGTCTCGTCTATGGCCTCGCCGCTGACGATGCCCTGGCCCGCATCGAGGTCTTCCACTCTACTCGCGCCGTCGAGGCCAACGCGCTCTCGCCCAGCACGAAAGCCCAGGCCCGCACCGTCGTTCGCATCCTGAAGGCCATCCGCCGCGGCGCCATGCCGACCTCCCGCGGGCCGCCCGACTCGGCCCCGCGGCCATCGCCCATGGTGCTCCGCGCCTCGGCCGCAGTCCGCACCCCGGGCCCACCCCCGGCCACCCGCAAGCGGCTCGACTTTGACGCATCCGACGCATCCGCCTCGGCCGCCGCTCCTGCGCCTTCGGCCGCGCGCCCCGTGGTCACCCTCTCTGACGAGGTCTCCTCACGCATCGCCTACTACAAGGCCATGGCCAAAGCCATCAGCGCCGCCACGGCGCCTGCGCTCTCTCCAGACCATCCGTAGCCAAAGATACACAGCTTGTGCACCCCGCGCTGGCTGCCGCCACAGGCCGACCGCTCGTGAAGACGTGGCCAACAACGGCAACACTGCACTCTGCGCCACTTCGTGACATCGATGGCGACGGGTCTGCGATGGCTGGTGGCGTCACAGGGCGATGCCAAGCACATTGGATGGGCCCATCCACTGGTGGCGTGTGTGGTGTACTACCTGGCTGTCGTGCCTGCGTCGTGGTGGGCGAGCGTGTGGCTAGGTGGCACAGCGAGTGGCGGCAGAGGCGACAGCGGAGGCGACCAAGGTGTGACGGGCTACGAGCTAGGCTACTGGCCGGGCGTGTGCAAGGGACTGGTGGCGTATTTGGCTGTTCTCCTCGGCTCGAGGCTGGTGACCAAGGGCTCGGTGGTGCTGTATGAGTTCATGTGGGGCTGCAACGTGGCGCTCGTTCTTGGCGCCCTTGCCGGAGCCACCGGAAACGCCTTGCTGCTCGCTGGCGCTGTCGTCTCGGTGGCGGTCGATCAGGTCATGTGGTATGTCGACATTGCGGCCTACGTCATCACGGGCTCCTTTCCCATCGGCGTGGCAAAGTATCTCATCTGGCCCACCACCGGATGGGTCCAGCGCGCCACCTCCGGTCATCACCTCGCCTTTATCCCGCTCGCGCTGTGGATGCTTGGCGAGGCGCAGACTGGTTTTCCGCCGGGCACCTTTGCGCTCTCGATCGTGGTGCTGGTGGTCGAGGGCGGAGCCACGCGGCTCCTGGCCCCGTTCTCTATTGTGTATCCCTCGCGGCCGCCGCTCATGCTCAACATCAACCTCACCCACGAGTGCTGGACGGACGTCCCCTTCGCCCTGCTGCACATTGCCGACGGCGCGTCGTTTCTCCCCGCCATGGCCTGGCTCGTCACCGTCTGGTCGTCGACCAACGCCATCTGCTACGCCGTCCTGCTCGCCATCGAGTCAGTTGTCTACGGCGTGTGACGCCATCGCCCCATCCGGACTCCTCGGCACACTCTGAGACGTACGCGGCCGGCCTCGACGCTTGTGGTGTCCACGCTTCTCTTCACGCACGCTTTTTTTACAGCAGCTAATCTCGGAGCAAGCAGCGAGCAGCACGCAACACGCAACAATGTCGGCTCGTATCGGCGTTCCTGTCATGATGGTGGGTACCGCTTTTGGCACCGCGCTTGTCGTCCGCGGCCTCTTGGCTGCATCGTCGCGCCATCGGCTGATGTCTGGCGCAGGCGGCTTTTCCATCTCGGCCGCGCCGCACTCGTTTGAGCCTTCGGCGCCGCAGCACGAGGACCACCTGCGCGCCCGTGTCATTCCCAACTCGCCGACGACGCGCACGCACGCCTGATGGCGATGGTCACGAGTCTGGAGCACCATCCAGAGTCTCTAGCTCCCTACCAAGTTCATGTCTATGGTTGATGTGTGTGGGCCGCGCTGGATGTGTGTGGGCCGCGCTGGATGTGTGGGTCGCGCTGGATGTGTGCGGGCCAGATGTTGCTAAAACCGGACCCGATTTCACGTTGCTTGCAATCATTCTTTGTTCGCGCTCCTTTTCTTGACCACGCAGCAGACCATCACCTCACCATGTCCAAGCTTATGTACGCTGAAGGCGCCATGGTTGTAGGCGCCGCCGTGGCCGCCGCCATGATCGCACGAACGACCGCCGCCCGGATGGGTATTGTCTTTGTGCCGAGAGCCTCGTCGTCGACCGCGCACTCGCACGAACCGCATGCGCCGCCGCAGCATGAGGACCACCTCCAGGCTCGACTTGTGCCTCGGGCCCCGCCCAAGCCAGGCAGACCGTGATGCCAACCACAGTGCCAGCCGTAGCAGCGTTCATCGATCGGCGGTGTCTCTTGGCGGGGCGTCGTTCAAACAATAACACATCAAGGCTTTTGACTCACAGCTGGCGCGACAGCGGAAAGATGTGGGCCAGCCACTTGTCGAGGGCAACGACTTGGTCGATGTCGACAGAGTGCCCGAGGCCGTCCCACTCGACTAGGTCCGAGCCAGAGAGCTCCGGCCAGGCGGCACGGATGCGGTCCCAGCCGGGCTTGGCCCACGCAAGCGGGACCATCGGATCCTCGCGGCCGTGGTGGATGAGGAGCGGCGGAAGCGAGGCTGCAGAGCTAGCCGTCGCAAGCTCGACCGACTCGGTGGCAGCAAGAACGTACGACGACCAGCAGACCAGGCCGGCGAGGCCGAGCTCGGCCCGCAGCGCCGCGTACAGCGCCATGGCGCCGCCCTGAGAGAAGCCGCCGAGCACAATCGGCAGCCGCTGACCATCATTGGCCAGATCAGCGTCGAGGCCCGACCGCAGTAGCGCCCGCTCTTCGGCCACCAGCTCAATGATGTCCTGCGCCGACGCAGCGATGCCCTCGACGTCCTCGGCAGCCTCGGGCCCGTCGGCGCCGATGCGGTCGAGCGAGGCAATGTCATACCAGCCAGGCATGACCATGCCACCGTTGACGGTGATCGGTCGCTCCGGCGCGTCCGGGAGGACCACCCGGATGTGCTCGCCAAGCTTGGACTCGCCGAACAGCTGTGTCGCCTGGAACAGCGGCGCAAAGCCATCAGGTGAGTCGCCGAGGCCATGGAGCCACACGATAGTGGCCTTGTGCTCGCCCGCCGGCTCGAGCACCTTGCGGGCCAGCGTCGAGCCCTGCCGCGCCGCCTTGGCCGTCAGAGTAGCAAACGTCCTCAGCATGCTGTTACGGTGAGACGGGTGGAGTATGGAGCCATGGTGCACGGTGTGGGCGTGGGCGTGGGTTGGGCGAGGGTGTGGGTGGTGCGGGGGTGACCGGCGAGCGGCGGATCTTGGACGGCATTCACCTCCGCCACCCGCACCGACTCCCCGGGGGGTATGGGCCAGTACACGGACACGGGTGTGTGATCAAGGGCATCGACGTTGCAGCTTGGTACGGGTATGTCGGGCATCCATGTTGAGGGCGGTACTTTTTGTATGCGCTCAATTTCCGCGCGCTTTTGTGTGTTTTCATGCCTCCGTCACCGCCTACGTCATTTCCACGTGGACGAAACATTGGGCGGCTTAAAACAGGCCGCCATCCCGTGCGGCCAACGCGGTGGCGGAGCGAAGCACCCAACCTCATCGCCCGACCCCCAAGTCGAAGTAGGCATGGCGATGCAAACCAAGGCGTTGCGGGCGCGGCTTGCGTCTGCCAAGCGCATTGTGATCAAGGCCGGCACGTCGGTCGTGTCCAAGGACGATGGCCTCCCGTCGCTGACCCGCCTCGGCGGCCTTGTCGAGCAGATTGCCGAGCTGACCGCGACTGGCAAAGAAGTCCTTTTTGTCTCGTCGGGCTCGGTTGGCGTCGGCCGCAACATGCTCCGCCGCCAGCTGATGGCCCAGGCCTCGATGTCGGCGCATCTTTCCGGCAAGTGGACTGAGAGCAAGCTCGTCGAGGCGCTTGGCCGCAAGCAGACCTCGTACTCGGCGGCGTGCGCCGCGGCGGGCCAGCTTGGTCTGATGTCGCTCTACGACACGCTGTTTGCCACCCACAACGTGGCGGTGGCCCAGCTGCTGGTCACCTCGACTGAGTTTGCCCACCCCGAGGCGCGCGCCAACATGCGGTCGTCGCTGGAGACCATGCTCGCTTGCGGCCTCATGCCCATCATCAACGAGAACGATGCAGTCTCGGCCAGTGGCCCGGTCTCACCGAAGACGGCGCTGGCGAATGCTCGTTCCGCGACAATGACATGCTCGCGGCGTTGGTTGCCCGCGAGATCGAGGCCGATCTCGTCCTCTTCCTCTCGGACGTCGACGGCCTCTACACCATGGCGCCGTCGGAGCCGGGTGCACAGCGGATCTCGCTCTACTCGCGGATCCACGCACAGGCGCAAATTGGAGCCAACTCGACGAACGGGCGTGGCGGGATGCGGGCCAAGCTGCACGCTGCGATGGTGGCGCTCGATGGCGGCCCGTTCTCGACCGAGGGCGTGAACGGCCCCGACGCGGTCGCCATCCTCTCCGGCTACGTGCCTGGATGCATCACCCAGCTGCTTGCCGGTGAAGACGTTGGCACTGTGTTTGTGACTGCCGCCGAGGAGGCCCGCCTCGAGGCCGAGGCCGTGGCCGAGGCCGAGGCTTCCGGGCTCGGCTCGGGACCTTCGACGCCACGCGGTCCCTCCGCCATTGCCCGCGCTGCCCGTGTTGGCGGCCGCGCGCTCGCCACCGCTCCGGCGGCTACCCGCGCCAGCATCCTTGAGCGGCTGGCGGACCTGATGGAGGAGTCGGAGGCAGAGCTGATGCTTGCCAACAAGCGCGATCTGGCGGCTGCTGCCGAGTCTGGCCTCGACGGCCCGCTGCTGAAGCGGCTCAAGCTGACTCCGGGCAAGCTTGCCAGCGTGATTGGCGGCGTGCGTGAGCTCGCGCGCCAGTGTGACCCGCTCGGCAAACAGGTAAGCGCGACGTCGCTCTCGAACAGCCTCGAGCTGGAGCAGATCTCTGTTCCGATCGGAGTCCTGCTCGTCATCTTTGAGTCGCGGCCCGACTGCCTGCCGCAGATTGCGGCACTCGCGATCCGGTCCGGCAACGGGCTGGTGCTCAAGGGCGGGTCGGAGGCACGGCACTCGAACGTGCTGCTTCACTCGCTGGTGGCACGCGCCATCGAGAGGGGTCGAGCGGCGCTGTGCCCGGCAGCACGATTGCGCTTGTCCACTCGCGGGCAGCGATTGCGGACCTGCTCGAGTTGCAGCATGACATTGACCTGGTCATCCCGCGTGGCTCCGGCAAGCTCGTCAAGTACATCCAGGACTCGACCGCGATTCCTGTGCTCGGACACGCCGAGGGCGTGTGCCACCTTTACATCGACGCTGACGCCGACCAGGAGATGGCTGTCCGTGTGGCGCTCGATGCCAAGACTTCGTACCCTGCGGCATGCAACGCTGTGGAGACGCTGCTGCTGCACAAGGCGACACTGGAGAACCCGGATGTGGCGACGGCGGTGCTCCGTGCACTCGCGGCTGCCGGAGTCAAGATCCACGGCGGCCCGCGGGCTGCTGCAGCGGGCCTGGTCTCGTCGGCGGACGCACACTTTGACACCGAATATGGGAGCCTCGCGCTCTCGCTGGAGGTTGTGGACTCGCTGGAAGACGCCGTGGAGCACATCAACCAGTTTGGGTCCGGCCACACCGAGTCGATTGTGACGAACAACACGGACACGGCAGACATGTTTGTGGCGCAGGTGGATGCAGCGTGCGTGTTTGTCAACACATCGACGCGGTTTGCAGACGGGACGCGGTTCGGGCTCGGGGCCGAAGTGGGGATCTCGACCGGGCGGATCCATGCGCGCGGACCTGTGGGGGTCAAGGGGCTCCTGACGACCAAGTGGATTCTCCACTCTGTGGCGGAGGACGGCGATTGCGTTGGCGACTACGAAGGTGATGCCAAGGACGGAGCGACAGCGCGGGTGTACACTCATGTCCACCACAAGGAATAACATGCGAGCGTTTGATGGGGTGATCGGCTGTTAAAGCTCGATGGCGTCCGGGTCGGGCATGGGAAAGCGCGAGGACTCGGCGGCGGTGAGCGAGTAGGCCCAGAGTGCGGCGGCTGCGTCCATGTCGAGGGCTGCGGCGGTGGTCGGAGCCGGGCGGCACTCGGCGTGGTACTCGCCAGGCTCGGCATCGTCGTCGAGGGCGCAGTATAGCGAGGTCTGGGCTCCCTGCCAAGTGTTCTGGAAGACGATGGCGCGGAGCGGGGCAGTGACAGCAGCGAGAACAGTGTTGTGGCGGAGGAGCTCTGAGTTGACGGCGCCCGGGTGGAGCGAGTAGGCGCGGGCGGCAGAGTTGGCGGAGACCAGCTTGGCGTTGAGCAGGCGGGTGAAGAGGATGTTGGCGATCTTGGAACGGCCGTAGGCACGGACGCGGTCATAGTCAGCGGCGCTGGTGATCGGTAGCGGAGTGGAGTCAAAGCCATGGGCGCTGGACGCAACGTTGACGATGCGGCCGCCAGCCTGGGAGATGTTGTCGAGAAGGCCAAGGGTGAACCACATGTGGCCGAGGTGGTTGACGCCCCACTGGGTCTCGTGGCCCTGGACGGTGGTGCCCCACGGGCACATCATGATACCGGCGTTGTTGATGAGAATGGAGATAGAGACGCCCAGGTCGGAAATCGTCTCGACGGCGGCCTGGACCGACGCCAGATCGGCCAGATCCATGACCACAAGCTCAGCCGAGCCGCCGAGCCGAGCTGCGGCAACAACAGTCTCTTTGGCCAGCACGCCGCGCTGGGCAGTCCGACAGACCATGATGACGTGCGCGCCGACCGAGATCAACGCCTTGCACGTCTCCAGCCCGATGCCGGTGTTTGCTCCGGTAACCACTACCGTCTTGTGGCGGAGATCGGCCGAGTCGAGTGCCGTCGCCCGGCGCCCACGACCGACAAGATACGCGAGACCGGCACCGACCGCAGCAGCGCCAGCAGCGAGCGGGATCGAAAGGTGGCCCAGGCCCCAGGCGGCAGCCGAGGCAGCACCAGACGTGAGCAGCATGAGTGTAGACTGACCGACTGAAGACCGCAGCATCTGCATGGGCCGGGAGCGGGGCTGGAAGCGGGACATGGCGGCAGGCAGGGTGAGGAAGGTGGAGTCGAGGTGGGGGGGGGGGGGGGGGGTAACACGATCCGGCGAATTGGCCACCTGG